GTTTTAAGATGTCTGGTGGCAGCGCTTGGACCATTTCCCGCGCTCCACAAGACCTCCTGTTTTCCTCCAGCCTGAGAGTTTTCTCCCCTAGTGGTTGCTGTGCAGTGCGGCCACATAGCCTGCAGATTTGTATTATGCCCATTCAAACCTCTAGAACAGAAGATAACTAAGGAACTAGTACTAAAGGTGAACGTTGAAGTTGTGCTAGAGTTTCAAGAAGGGCACAGTTTCAAAGCTGATTGTCCAAGCAGTCTGAGCTGTGTTCACCATCGCCGTCCCAGGGGACATCCACGGAGTGGATAAACAGAGCTACTCCCTTGCTTTTCTCTGGCACAATTTTTAAATTTTTTTAGTTGTTTGTGGACCTTTATTTTATTTATTTATTTATTTATATGTGGTGCCAAGAATCGAGCCCAGTGCCTCACACATGGTAGGCAAGTGCTCTACCACTGAGCCACCACCCTAGCCCCTCTGACATAGTCTTAATTTGAGTTTTGCTCCCCTCTGCTCTGCCACTTGGTGGCGTGACATGGAGGCAGTTGTGGGAGCGCAATGGGTCTATTTCCTCTGTGAGTGAGAGGATGATCGTGCCTGCTGTGCGGGGATGCTGTAGTATTCACTTAGTGACTGTATAAAGACGCTCGGAACAGCTCTTCGCTCGTCATATTATCTTCCTGTGTTTGCAGTTGTTATTCAGGGAGGACGTGCGTCCTTTGTGTACAGGGGGACTGCCATGTCATGTAATGTGACCCTATTAAATTGTCATCTGAAGAAAGGGTTTGGCAGTAAAGGAAGGGATCTGGGAACCATGGTATCAGACAGCTGCGTCTCGGTGCTCACACCCTCAGGGCCAGCCATGGGACATCTGATCCACAGCACTGATGAAGATAGGGGTATGAGGTTGTCCCCTTGTCAGGTAGAGCAGAGAGAGTCCTTGCTTGTTTTAGGATAGTCACAGATTCCTGCCGTCCTCTGACTTAGCAGGCAGGGCCCCTTCCACCAGAGTAGTTCCCTTTGATAGGGAGCTGGGCATCCACCAGGGGTTTGTTTGAAAAGAGGGTTTTACTTCCATAAATAGGATATTACCTCTCTAGAACAGAAGATATGAATGGGTGGCATGTACTTTAAGAATTGTATTCATTAAAGACACCTAAAAAATACCACAGTTTCTCATTGAAACAGACATCCTATAATACCAGTGATGTGGGAGGCTGAGGTATAAGGATCAGAAGTTGGAGGCCAGCCTTAGCAACTTAGCAAGATGCTGTCTCAAAATAAAAAATAAAAAAGCTCAGTGGTAGAGCACCCCATTACCAAATAAATAAGTAAATAAATATAAGTCTCTTGGGTATAGCTTAGTGGTAGAGTACTTCCCTAGCATGCACGAGGCCCTGAGTTCCATCCCTAACAAAAGAGAAGGGATGTGGGAAGGAGAAAGAAAGAGCTAGTTAGCTGAGTTTCTGCCACCTTTTGAAAACCCGGATTGTCATCTGAACATTGGCCTTCCTCTTGACACACCTCTGCTTTCCCGTCTGCCCATGAGTCCTGTCTGCAGCTCCTGCCGGGTCCCTGTGAGTCCTGAGTTTGCCTCTCCTGCTCTATTCTGGTTCCTTTTTTCACAGACAGGGATACAGAAGCCTGGGAAAGAAGAGGCCCCCCCTGGGTCACCCACAGGGTTGGTGTGATTCCCCCAAACCACTCACCAGGCTAACAGCTGCCTCTTCTCCACCAGGTGTACTGATGTATCGCGACTATCCCCTGGAATTGTTCATGGCTCAGTGCTATGGCAACGTGAGTGACCCAGGGAAGGGGCGCCAGATGCCTGTCCACTATGGCTGCAATGAGCGCCACTTCGTCACCATCTCCTCTCCACTGGCCACCCAGATCCCTCAGGGTGAGGATGCATGCCCTGATGCTCATGTGTGCAGACCCATTCACACCTTCTGGTCCCCGTCCCTTCCCCAGCCCTCACGGGTGGGCTTGTGTGTGGGCTTCCCGATGGTGCTGCTCTCAGACCCTGGCCTGTGCTCTGGACTTTCAAGGTACTTTTCATCTGAGACCCTTCTGAGGAGGCCCCAGTAATGTCCTCACCCCATTCAGCAGCCTTGAGCCAGCATGACCACAGTCTGGGTTTCCCAGGCTTCCACCCGCCCCGTCCCACTGCTCCTGGGGGAGCACACAGGCCAGAGTGCCCCTGCGTGTACACCAGGGTCCAGGCTCTGTGCAGGTGCTTGGCTTCTGTTGTCCCACTGCAGTGCCATGGGGGTAAAGGTTATTATTTGCTATTACTCCTGTTATAAAGAGCAAGAAATTAAAGTCAAGGAGGGAAAGTCAAGTGACGTACTAAAGGTCTCCTGACAGGTAGAGAGTAGAAGAGCAGCTGGAACCGTGGACCATGTGACCCCAGAGCCTAGGTTCTGTCTCTACTCCTTGTTGGCCTCAGTCCCCAATCAGGCACACTCCCAGAGCTCACTGGGTACCCTAAATCCCCTTTATACAGGGTGGATGGAGACAGGGAGGGGTGGGAGAGGACTGTGGATATGCAGGGTGGGTGGGCCTTGTTATCTTTACCTTTTGCAGGGACTTTGACCCTGAGTGCTCTGGGATCTGTGGGTTGGAGAGGATTCTGTCATTGGGTCACTTTGCCTGGCTCTCATTTTAAGAGTCCTCGGGCTATCGCTTGGATAACAGACTGCTGGGCAGGGCACCAGTGAGGTGGCTGCTGGTTAACTCAGGCATGAGCAGCCAGAGGCTTGGCCCTGGGGTGAGAAGGGCTTGGATTCTTGTTATATTTTGAAGGTGGGTAAATGTGGGGGATGACAGAGTATTGAGTCAGGGATGCCGAAGTTTCTGGACTGAGCAATTGGAAGGTGGTGTTTGGTGGCAGAGAGGCGGAAGACTCAGGTGGGCAGGCTCTGGGGGGTTCCTGTCTGTGTCTAATGACAGCTAGTCTGAGCCCAAGTTCTGGTGGGGCATGTGCGAGAGTGTTTTGTGTGTGTATGTGTCTGTGTGTGTGTGTCTGTTCCTGCTCACCGCCCTCTCATTGCTCTGCAGCCGTGGGGGCAGCCTATGCAGCCAAGCGTGCCAATGCCAACAGGGTTGTCATTTGTTACTTCGGCGAGGGGGCAGCCAGTGAGGGGGATGCCCACGCTGGCTTCAACTTCGCCGCCACCCTCGAGTGTCCCATCATCTTCTTCTGCCGGAACAACGGCTATGCCATTTCCACGCCCACCTCCGAGCAGTACCGAGGGGACGGCATTGGTAAGGCCCACCGCTGCCTGCCTGGGGACAGAGCCCTGGAGGCGCACGGCGCTGTTCCCCACCCCCTGCTCTGCTTCGCTCTCCTCCTCGCTCTGCCTTCATCTCCTCGCTCTGGACCTGGCTCAGTGCTCTGCCTCACTCCCTGCTCTTCCCTTGCACTGCACGTTTTCCTCATCTGAGCCCTGGGGCCTCCCTGTCCCTGCAGCGGCACGAGGCCCCGGGTACGGCATTATGTCAATCCGAGTGGACGGCAATGATGTGTTCGCTGTGTACAATGCCACCAAGGAGGCCCGGCGGCGGGCTGTGGCAGAGAACCAGCCCTTCCTCATTGAAGCCATGACCTACAGGTGCCTGCCTGTCCCGTCGCCACCTCCACAGTCCTGACAGCTACCACTTGTAGTAGCTCCCTCACTACTGCCCCTAGAATGTGGCTTCCACACCTGGGGGCCATCCCCCTCCCTGCCTTTGCTCCCTTTCCACCCCTTCCTCCCTAGTCCCCCCATCTCTCTGACCCCTACTCCAGGGGCCCCAAGTTGACCAGGGCCCCTCCTGGGCAGGATTGGGCACCATAGCACCAGTGACGACAGTTCGGCGTACCGCTCAGTGGATGAGGTCAACTACTGGGACAAGCAGGACCACCCCATCTCAAGGTTGAGGCTCTACCTGCTGAGCCGTGGCTGGTGGGACGAGGAGCAGGAGAAGGCCTGGCGGAAGCAGTCACGCAAAAAGGTCAGGGGCCACTGTCACTTAGGCTGGGCGTGCCGGGGGGCTGCTGTGCTATGGGTAAGAGCTCTGGGAGAATGGGGTGCTGGGATCTGGGGTTGTCAAGCTGAGAGACTCAGAGGGTAACCCATTGTGTCCCCAGGTGTGGCTTGTGGTATGAGGCTGTCACTTGGCCTCAGCCACATCTTGCAGAATGTCCTGGGCAAGCTGTCCTGCCACTTCCTCACCTCTGGAGAGGGTACTGGAGTGCCCCATTTAGAGGGTGGCCTGAGGACGCGGCAGCTTAGTCCCTGAGCAGTGGAGATCCGCTCAGAGACAGTCTTACACAGTTAACTTCACCTCCTTTGTCTTCATCCTCTCCATTGTCCAGATGGGAACATGGAGGTTCAACAGCTAACCCCTGGCTCAGGCCCCACAGGGAGAGGCAGGGCCATGGGGAGGTGTATGCCTCCCACCCTCTGGTGTCCCCCAGGTGATGGAGGCCTTTGAGCAGGCTGAGCGCAAGCCGAAGCCCAGCCCCTACCTGCTCTTCTCGGACGTGTATCAGGAGATGCCCACCCAGCTCCGGAAGCAGCAGGAGTCCCTGGCCCGGCATCTCCAGACCTATGGGGAACATTACCCCCTGGACCACTTTGACAAGTGAGATGCTCCCCAGCTACTCCGATAGGTGCCACACTCTGAGCTGAGGAGGGAGGCCTGGCAGGATGCCCACCCCCACTGCTTCCCCAGCCAGCTCTAATAAATTACTGGTGGCTGGGTTGTGCCTCAGACTGTGGGGGTGGCTCCTACTCCTCATCCCTCCCCTCCAGGCAGCTCCACTTGGGGGGCCATGTTTGCAGCAGTTGCTGAGACTTGGTCAGCTCCTCTTCACCTGTTACAGTGCCTCCTCCCAGGGGCCAGAGTGCCTAGGAACCTGAAGCTCCTCCTCTGGTGGGTGGGGTGAGATGGCAGGGTGGCATATGGAGTTTACTCAGTGACAGTTGGTCAGGGGAGTAAATAAACTCTGCGGCTCTGCCTGTAGCTCTTCAGCACCTCTGGTCTCTGTTACCTGGAGTTTGGGGATCAGGGGAGGGTCCAACATGACTAATCTGGGACACACCCGGCTTCTACACATTAGATATGTAAGGACAATGCTGTTGAGATATTTGCTTCCCCTGCAACTTCCACAGGCTGGAGGGTCAGGTTTGGCAGATGGCTGGGGTGGTGGGAGGCCCTCCAGAGATGGTCCTCTGCTCTCCCATGGGATAGCTCAAGCTTAGTGTCCAGTAAAGAGACCAGGATACCTATCAGATCTGCCACTCCAGGAAGGGGTGTGTCTACAGTGAAGGTCCAAGAGCAGCTGAGCTCTGCTTCGTTGCACCCCGCGGCCCCACAAATGCAAAAACCATTTGAGGCCTCAGAGTGGGGAGTACATATTTTTCAAAAACAAAAGGTAGACAAAAACAAGCTGTTGCCTCATCCTTTCTGTCCAGTCCCCTGGACAGAGAGTGCCCAGGAGTGGCTCAAGCAGTCCAAGATCCAGGACCTGCACCCTCACACCAAGGCCTGGGGGCGGGGGCAGACCAGGTTAGCCCCTTCTCCTCAAGAGGCTCAGCACTGCGGCTGCAGCTCCTGCAGCTGTCTCCAGAGCCGAATGCTGTCCTGGGGGCTGAGGGGCCGCACCAGCAGCAGGTCTCGGAGTGTACAGGGGTCTGTGGTGCGGTCTGCCGGCCAGGCTGTGAGGAAGCCTGGGTGTGTCCGTGGCACTAGACCCAGGGCTCGGAAGCAAAGGCCTGTGTAGACATCATCGAACGGGAAGGGTGCCACGCGGGCTGCCGCCTGCAGCAGCCAAGGAGCCAGGCGCCCCGCGATGACGTAGCCACCCCCGCTCGCATAGGCTGGGTAACCACCTTCAAAGAAGGACCCGGGCACATAGAAGGGTCCCCCAGGCTTCCTGAGGGGCTTGGCCTGGGTGAAGACCTCACCCAGGTAGAGACTTCGGGCCCAGGTGGGCGGTAGGGCCTGCAGGTGATCCAGCAGGGCGGGCATGTGTACAAAAGCATCGTCCTGAGCTTGCAGGACAAAATTCACCTCCGGACAGTGGTGGCCCAGCCAGGCCAGCAACAGCAGGTCTTTGAGCGTCCGGTTGTAGGGGACGTCAAGGAAATCCCAGAGCAGCAGGTCATTGTAGCGACGGCTCTCCCAGGCCACCAGTGAGCGCAGGTCGGGCCCCCCCTCACCCACTGGGGACCCCAGCAGGAAAAGCCTCCGAATCCCAGGAGCTGGACGGCCCCACGTCTCCCTCACGGCCTGTCGTTCTGCAAAGCGTCCTGGTTCCGACTTGACAGCCAACAGCAGGAAGGGGACGTTAGTGTCTGAGCAGCTGGCTACTTGGCTGCCTTCAGGCAGCCACTGTGGGAAGCTCCGGCAGGCTGCTGACAGCAAGAAGCGACGGAGGTCCTCAGGGTAGGAGGTGAAGTCTGGGATCTCAGCAGCAGCAGCAGCTCCCCAAGCCTGGCAGCCCCCTGCCTCAGCACTGTTCTCACTGGGCAGGGCTCTCAGCCGCCACTGCTGCTGGTTCCAATAAGCTGAAGGCAGTGGGCCAGTCTGGCCCAGGCGGGCTGAGAGGTTGGCAGGCAGGGTGGGCTCAGTGCTGGCTGATGTGGGGCCTGACAGTGTACCCCGGGGTCCTGGGTAGGCCTTGCTAAGCCGGGATTCGGAGGTCCACTCGATGTACACTTTGAGGCCCAGGAGCGTGAGCAATGCTGACAGGCAGAGCAGACACTTGGGGCAGCGCATGACCTGGCCCAGGGAAGGGGCAGCCGAGGGAGCTGCAAAAGGGAGCCACAGGGAAGCTACAGAGGTGTGACCAGCCTCTAGAGAGGGCCCGGCCGGGCCCCAGGCAAATTGCCTCAGTATGTCTTAGCCAACCCTGTAATGGCTTCTCTCTTTCTCTGACCCCAACAGGTCACCCCCAGCCTGCCAGGGACCCAACTGGCCTGGGGACTTTCCCCTCCATTCCAATCCCATTCTTTTTCCACCTTCCTAAAAGCCCTGGAGGTGACCTAGTCCCCATTTCCACTGGTCACCATTCCTACCTCCTCTTCTCTCCATTCTTCCCGGGAATCAGGATCACTTGATCCCCAGCTGGCTGGGGGGGTTCCTTTCACTGCTCAGAAACCCAGCCTCCCTCTCCCAGCAACACTACTCCAGGGACAGGGTTGGGGGACCCGGGATCTGTCTCCTCTGTACCTTTTGGTCTGGCTCCCACCAGCTCCGGCGCGGCCGGGCCTCTGGTCAGGTTTTCTCGGTGCTGCCCCTGCCTGAGTGTCGTCAGGCTGCCAGCCCAGCCCAGCCCAGCCCAGCCCAGCCAGGGCGGGAGCTGGAGGCTGGAGGGCCCCAGGGGCCGGGAGGGGCCGGGGCGGGGCTGAGGGAGGAGGGAGTGGGGAGGCGGGAGGCCCAAGGGGAGATGAGCCTCCCTGCGTGTTAGGGCTGGTTTTCTGGTGAGACAGGGGGAAAGGTGCAGAGGTGGCCACAGCAACAGACGGGACCCTGTGAGGCCCAGGAGGGGTGGTTCAGGAGCCTAGGGGAGAGAGTCCAGGAGAGGGTGAGGCCAAGGACTGGGTGGTGTCAGAATGACCCTGAGGGAAGAGTCCCAAAGAGGAAAGATGGGGAGGGAGGCCAGGGGCTGGCTTGAGGCCACAGCCCAGAGGCGGTGTGAATGTGCTGAGTGGGGATGGATCAGCCGCCAGAGATATGGATGTTTGCTGTTGCGCCTGTAGTCGGGGTAGGGGTGGGGACTGGCCTGGAAGGGAGGAGGCGGGACATCAAGGGGGGAGAAAGACAGCCAGGGAGACCTCGGCCAGGAGTCAGGAAGAGAGAAAAGAGGGAGACAGAGATGAGAGAGCCAGGAGAAGATGGGGAAGGTGCCCTGGAGGGCGTGGAGCAGGGAAATGGACATGGGTTGGCTAGGAAGCCCCTGCAGGAGCCAAGGTTGAGGGCTGTGGGTGGAGGACTGGGAGCAGGAAACTGGAAGGTGGAGACTGACCCTGGGAGAGGTGAAGGGAGCCTGTAAGGAACCAGCGAAGAGGAACAAGGGAGAAGGACCAGGTGAAGGGGAGCTAAGTGAAGGGCAGTAGGGGTGATGGGGGAGCACACAGGAAGCCAAGAGAACCTCCCCCCTCTTCGCCTAGGCCACCCACCCAAAGGGAGGCCTGTAAGCAATTCCTAAGGCCTTCACCCAGTCCTGGGGCCAGCTGCCCTGGTGCCTGCCCCTCCCTCGCTGCAGTGACTTCAGCATCACTCAGGTCCAGCCCTTGGGACTAGAAAAGGTGTCTGCCTGTGTTTACACCCTGTCCTCCAGGGACCTCTGCTGTTGGGGCTGCGCCAGCTATCTAGGGAGGGAATAGGTGGGGCTTCCTTGTCCCACTGTCTCCTGGGACCTTGGGGCTGACCTCTTCACCCCACCTGGTTGGAGAGATACTGTCCAGAGTTTGTCAGGAACCCAGTCAGCAGCAGAAGCTTGTTATCTGTCCAGCTCTGATTTCCTCCCTAAGGTTTGAATAATGGAACAGCTGGAGGAAGAGAGTGGGGTGGAAGTGGTGAATGCCAGTGGAATAAAGCTACTACTAGGAGGATGGCCAGGGGCCAGGCAGGGCCAGCCTGCCTCACCTGGGGTCAGAAGAGGAGGTCAAGCCCCCTGAACTCCTGCTCATCTCACACAGAGCCCCTCTCCTGGGGCGTCATTCTGGGTCCATTGAGGAGAAACCACATAGCAGTTGGAACAGGGAAAGTTTGATATTAAGAGGATTAACTAAACTTGGGATTGAAGAAATGCAGGATTAGTCTGTTAATAAGAGGTGTCTACTTGAGGATTGCAGTTGAAGGTGGCCGTGCAGATCCAATGTGATCACTCCAACCTGGTGTGTCCGTCTCCCTAACTAAGCCTTTGGATTCCTTGCCTCTATATTATGCCAGGGAAGTTCTAGTCTCAGCCTCTTTATTGTAGGCTACTTTTGGGTCCAAGTTCCAGTCAGCCAACCAAGAACTGTTAGAACCACCCCTGCTGCACAAAGTAACCCATTAAATCAGGCATCTCTGGTAAGTGTGCTCACCTTGCAAATGTCAAAGCCCCTACTAGTGTCAGAACCACCCTCATTGTTCTGACACACTTAAAATCCATTCCTGCACACATTTCCCAAGTTTCCAACTACACATATATTTGCAGTCTTGTTCTATGGTATGTAAGCTGTTCCTTCCTGTATCCTGGTAGGTACCTGTTCCCCTAGAGCAAGCTGAGATTTGACCCTTGGCATTTATGGATGTGGGGCAGCAGGGGAACACTTGTAAGTCTTATTAATGGATGCCCCCTTTCAAAGTGAGGATCCCTAGTCATCACACATTTTCCAAGCATAGGCAGGTTGATAGATCTCTTGGCACTGGTAAAGGAGTCTTTGAGTAACTTGACGCTTTGAGATCTGTTTACTCTGGGTCCAACAGATGACCATTATAGCTTTTGGTGCTATAATGAAACCTCTCTAGTTCTTAGATGTGACATATTAGGCTTGTCATTATCTGTAAGCACTTAAAGGCATTCCCAAGAATCCATCAACATCTTACTGTTTAGAATTCTCCCAACTGTCACAGCTTTCAAGCCCAGCAGCCACCGGGGCTCCCACGCACGTGTTTCAGTTGGCAGCTCATCATGCTGGATCACCATAGGTGATGCCAGGGCTCTGATGCCACCTGTTTCCCATCAGCAAGGAGCTTAGCTTAAGCCCAAAGCTACAACCAGACCAATCCCAAAACGTCTATTTAGGAGTCTGGGTGTCCTGAGAAACTGCAGACAGATTCTGCATCCATCTGGATCCAATCAGGAGAGGAAACCACACAGTAATTTCAACAGGCAAAGTTTAATATAAAGAATTATTGATCTCAGCAGTGAATTGGGATCACAAGGAATTCATTGGTAAACTGCCTCCGAATTGACCAGAAGCCCATCCGGAGTGCTGGGGAGTTATTCACAGAGAAGCATCAACGGAGGCCCCTGTGAGACCACTGAAGGAGGGGGTGGGCACCAGAGGAGGCTGTGGACCACATGGCTCTCCAGGAGCTGAGTGCGGGGGAAGCCACCAGCCCGGCAAGACCAAGACCTGGAGCAGGTAAGCTGTAGGTACAGCAGAGCACAGGCCTCTCCTCCTGGAGTATTTATTCCTCCAGCACCCTCTGGCGGGAAGTCTGTCCTGCCAGTTGGCAAAGGAAAATAGTTTAAAAGCTCAGCTTCATTTTCACAGAGCAGGCAGAAGAGTTGAATTTGGAGCTCAAAATCAATAAATCAATTACTGGCAACACTGTGGGAGTTCAGGTGGTACTGGTTTTCAGTAAGTGTGGGCCAGGGATGCTGGACATGCTGCTGTAAGCTGACCAGCCCTGCACTGGGGAGAGCCACTGCTGTCAAGTCCACCATACGGCCTGCACAATGGTTTCATTAATGAGGTTCTAGGCATAAAGTTAGCTAGATGAGATCGAAATAAAACACACAGACTCAGTTACCTTATTTCTATTGCC